AGTATAGCAAATCTTGCTGTTCTGCTTCAATAAACAGGCACACCTTTCTCACTAATAGATAAGTAGTCCCTGTTATAAAGTTTACGTTATTAGATACTTACGTGCATTCCTGTTTGAATTTATGATACACTACAATTTGTTATATTGAAAGATAGTAGCAAGTTGGATGTTTTTAGCGGTTATTGTAAGTGTGTGTTTATCGATGGGGGCGTCAAGTACACAGACAATATGTAGAAAAGGTATTTATAGAAAGTTTGAGAGTCACTGAGCTAGTAAGTAATGATTTTATTCATGAAATAATGTTCTATTTTCAGTTTAAGACGTTAATAATGCACCTGGTGCAATAATCATCCAAAACTAGACATGTTATATGTGTTTTATTGAAGGTTTCAAACTAAAAACTAAACAGAAACTTTGAAGATTAAACATTATGTATATCGTACACTGCTCCAGTCTTCCACACAATTCATTTCCAACACAAATTCCACAGAAAAGAATGCCGGCTGTTTCCTATCAACAGTCTAGACATATTATGATATAATTGGATACTTGCCAAGTGATATTGTTAATCGTCTAAGTATTCAGTAAATACAGAATTAATGAAAGACGCAATTAAATAGTTATTATATCTTTAAAAAATTCTGAAAATTTTGTTTATTAAACAAATGTTGGTTTGAGACTCGAGTATATCATAGTAAGCGTGGGTTCGTTAGAGAAATACTAGTTTAAACAGCAACACACTAAGTCTGCTATTTCAACTAAACAACATTCTTCCCCACACGGCATTGTTCTTGTGGTCCGGAAAACTCTCGTAATCAGTCAGTTAACGCTCATCCTCTCTAGAGTTACAGAATGAGGCTGTAGAAATGCGGAGATGTACCCACGTATATCTGTTAGAATAATAGCTTATAGAAGTCGAAAACCATCACGAACTGACCAAATTGTCTCTCTTGACAAGTGGTTCCCTTTCGGCTAATGACCCAACAGTTCTTCCTCCGGTACGGCAGAATGAGTTTGCCAGTGGCAAATGGAAGACAGGGTTAGTTTAGTGAAATGATGACGACATCGCTAATGTATCTGACTTTGCCATCTGTTCCACTGGCACCATTAGAGACTTGATATTCTGTATGTGCATTTGTCCTTCCCTGCAGAACTCCAAATTTCTACTACTTAATACAACCACGATCAATTGACGTGTTTACGCATTCAATATGTCATCTATTTGTGTAATTTCTTGCCATAAACGTATATGTTGCAAGTATAATTTGTTAACTGTGATATTCTACTTTAATTTGTTCATAACAATTGGCTCTATTATAATGATAAAATTAGATAATAGGCTGAACAATCGCCAGGTTTTTATATTTTTATTTAAAGAAGGATGACGTTTCGAGCTAACACTCTTCATCAGCTGTAAACTGTACGATCTGATGAAGAGCGCTAACTCGAAACGTCATCCTTCTTTAAATAAAACAAATATATGTAAAAAAACTTGGCGATTGTTCAACCTATTATTTAATTTTGTTATTTTCGTCGCCTATGTGGTTTTAATTATGCTTGTCTATTATAATGTTTGTTACCGTTCTTCGTTTGTTTGTAATTAAGCACAAAGCTACACAATGGGTTATCTGTGCTACCGTTCTTTAAACGCATTGTTGTGTTTCTCAACTATATTCTAGGATGTACAACATCAAGAATAGGAACGACATTCAAGTTTGATCATACGTAAGATATAACATGAAATGACAGTATTAACATATATTAGGGCTCTAACCAAGGTAGATCACTCGACGTGTGACAAGCTGGAATTTCACTCTGTGGGTGAGCCGACACACACACACACTGTGTGTTAGGTTTCTAGTGCCATTAGTTACGATTTAATATATTTTCTGTGGTCGCATGTTAGTCAGTGATGATGGTTTGCTTTTGAAAACTAGCGAAAACGTGATTCTGATATAGTCATGTTCTGCTTTGGAAAGTGTTTTCAGAATTTTGTCGAGCTAACGTCGACTGACATAAATCAACTTCACTGTCGCTAGCAGCTTAGCAATTGTTGGACGTTAAGAATCAGATGCTGTGTTTAGTTTTGTTTCTATTATTTCATTTTGTTGCATGCAAGAAAGCTTGCATCGTTTGTTTAGCGCTCTGGTCTTCTTGACTTTGTCAAACCTCGCTCTTACGGAACTCGACAGTTTTCAATATTGTGGTCACAGTTGTGATAAGTCAAATTTGACGAGGTTGAACCTGTATACTTTTTTGCGGAAAATTATAATTACAGTTTTCTGTGGTGTATTATGCTTATAGAATTAAAACAAAACGTTCACGAGGTTAACGCCAGAGGGCCGTTAGATAACAACCTTTTTAATCCTACCCAAAGCCAATACCGTCGCTCACCGCCCAAGGAGAAAGCAGACGTGTGACATTAGATATGTAGAACAAAGGGTATAAACGTGAATCATAAATGCTTACTTTTAGTTTTCTGAGGTGCGACTCTCCTGGTCTTTAACCCAGAAACCTTGCGGACACAAGTCCAGTTAATAAACTACCTTATTTGTGGAATGTCTTTTCGGAAAGTTTCTCTTCAAACCTTGTTCAATGTAAGCTTTCTGACATTCCTTTGCGGGTGTAAACACAAAAGTGCCTCATTTATATTTGTACACCCAGATACACAGAGAGTTCAACTGGGAGTATTTGAGTCCATCTTGTGTCACAGGTACGAGTTTACATCTATATTAAAAAAAAAGCAGGTCGATTTTCATAGACTCGTTAGTTATCATTATTATTGTTTGTTTAGTTATCTTTTTATGTAACTGTAAACTTCTCAATATTGTGTTAAATAAAAACTAACAAGTAATCAGATTGTTCGTTGACATTAATGAACGAAACGCATACAATAAAATTATTTTGTTTCATTTCGCTAGATTAATTTTACCACGCAGAAGACAACATGCACAATAGAGACGTCTTCAAAATTTCTGGAAGATTATTTTAAGCAATGATTTTTATACCCGTAGTAACCATCTACTACAAGTAACCATCTAATACACCACACGACTGTTACATTTGCAATCTTCCGTGTGGTCAATTTTCACAATATTGTGTCCATCAGTTTCTTGAACCCAAGCAGCGGAAGTAACGATTTTTAAACACCCAGTACATGAAACATATTTTTGAAACCTTGTTTCTTTATTTAAATATCTGATCATTCTCCAAATTCCTATTATATAACTTTTAGCAATGTGTGATAGTTTTGCTGCTCGTGAGCAATTCGCTTGACGGTCAACTTCCTTACTATAGTGACATCATCACTTTTATGAGTCTTTAATAGTGCGATATTATCTATTTTGAAGAGTCATAGTCCTTAATACAGTGAAGTAATATATTTTGAAGAGTCATAGTCCTTAATACAGTGAAGTAATATATTTTTGAGAGTCATAGTCTTTAATACAGTGAAGTAATATATTTTTGAGAGTCATAGTCTTTAATACAGTGACATTATCTACTTTTGAGAGTAAATTTTGTATATGGTGACATCATATACTTTTATGGGTCAACATCCTTAGTACAGTGAAAACATCTACTTTTAGGGGTCAACATCCTTAGTACAGTGAAAACATCTACTTTTAGGGGTCAACATCCTTAGTACAGTGAAAACATCTACTTTTAGGGGTCAACATCCTTAGTACAGTGAAAACATCTACTTTTAGGGGTCAACATCCTTAGTACAGTGAAAACATCTACTTTTAGGGGTCAACATCCTTAGTAC